GCAAACCGTTAACAGCGCAAGCAGCAGTACATTCGACCAGCGCACCGGAGAAAACTAGAACCATATCAACAGTCCACATTACTCAAATTGCTTACTCAATTTGCAGCAGTTTAACTCACAGTCATCATCCATTTTGCACGATATGAACGGTGCGACATTACGTGAATGAAATGAAATGACTGAAATGAAATGCATCAATGATATTGCGTGAAATGACCAATTCTTGCCAGTGCATCGAAGCCCTCAACTTTGTAAGTAGCTGCCTGCGGACGGCGGGCGGCCATTGCTTCGGGGAAAACTGAAAATAGGCCTTCGCATTCAAGGCGCAAGGGCGCGGATTTGCTACGCCATCTCGGGCAATTGTACATGCGACTGTCGGACCGCAGCGCAGCTTTTTGTGCTCTTACCGCGCGTTTGTGCATCCGTTTACTTGGTGCTTTGGCACTGGCTGGCCTTGGCGTTTTTTGTGTCGAGCGTCGTCGTAGCCTGCAGCCGACAAAATTGATGGACCAGCGGCTGACTTGCGGCGTTTTGCCTCGCAGAGCGCTCGGGACAGCGAATGGGAAGTGAAGGAGGTGTTCCGAGTGCGCACCAACCAAGAGCAGAACATCACCCTCACCATGCCCTACTACGACATCGTGCGGATCAAGGCGGAGGAGTCGGACGAGGAGGAGGAGGAGGAGAAGGAGGCGGAAAACGACCATCTGAGCCCCTTCATGCCCCCACTCATTGGGGAGCAGATGCTGACCAAGGAACAGGCCCTGGAGGTCAGGGAGAAGTGCCTCAAGGCACTGAAGGAGAGGCTCATCGAGCGAGCCAATATCATCCAGGTGAGACGGTCCCGTTGACTGCATTGTGCCAAGCATGACACGGTTTCCGTCACCTTCATGGAAGAAATGGCAGATTTCCATCTGGAACGTTCGAGAGCGTTTCTAACAATTTGGCTCCAAGCGCAAAACGTCAGAAGTGCGGGTGAGCGCCAACGCCGCTTGCGCACCCTTGGGGTGGCACCCATAAGTTGTCACTCGTTTGTCATATGACAGTGGGTGTCGTCCATTCCTTGTCGTCGGGCTTCAGTTCACAGTGTTGGCCACGTGCATGATACTTCGAGGGGTACTGCTTAAGTCACTCGCCAAACAAGTCCCTCTGCTCCTAACTATAGAACGGAGATCCAACCCCATGCTGTCGAAGCTTCTGGAGGATCGCCGAACGCAAAAGCACACGCGCAGCATGGGGTGTGTGTGTACTTTCACGCGTTTCCCTCTCGCTCCGCCCATCACATGAAGCAGCCTTGGCAGCAGGGAGTTAATCGATGACTGGTTCTCTTCATGAGAACACTCCATCCGCACTGCTGGAGCTGCTCTGGGGCCGCACGCCTGAACTTGGGCATCAAGTAGATGAATGCTTGGCCCGCTTGCAGGCGCGCCACGACGAGGAGGCCGCGGCACTGAGCAAACGGCAGGCGAATTACCAACGCGACAGGGACCAAATGACGAGGGAAGAGGAGGAGGAGTACGAGAAGGCCTGCGAGGAGTCGCTGTTCAGGCATGCGCAATGCACCCGCTTCAGGCAGCCGCGCTTCGAAACTGCGCAACTAGCGTCGCTGGGACAGATAATTCATTTCAAGCAATTGTGATGCCTCCTCAGGCTGTGTCAGTTCCCTGGAAAACTTGTGGCTGTGCATTTGTGGTGCGCATTCACCTCCGACATACCTGATCGCACGGCTCTTGCAGATGAAATAACAACGTGCGCGAGGCATCTGCAGCACGCGTTTGCGTTCCGTGGCGTTTGCAGCCGGGCTGCCCACCGCTCAACGTCAGAGGCTGCGATGATTGGGTGCGAAAGAGATTCACAGGGGTGTTTGTGCGTGAAATAGAGTAGCCCGCGCGATGCCAGGGGTGTTGTCTCCGTTCATCGGAAGTGGCACACCACTGTACTTGCACCACACGGCCATGAAGGGCACAATTCCATCCGTGTTACTTGTTTCACAACGGCTGTTCTCCTCGGGTGTCTCATGTCGGCGTTGTTCGACATGCAACACATGAGCTCCAGGCTCCGAACATGTTCGACATGAAATACTGGCTCTTAGTTGCATAAATGAAGATTCCAAAAGGAATCACAGCCAAGTGAAATCGAGGGCTCTGACCTAACTTGGGGGGCCGCCCTGCCACAGGACCCACATCCTGGAGAAGCGGCTCAAGAGGCACGAGGAGCAGGCCCTCCAGAAGTACTTCGATCTGGATCAAAAGCTGCGTCACGACCCAAGGCTTGCTTCACTGCTCCAGAGTTGATTGGGCGCCTGGGGGGCTTTGGTCGGCGCAAATCTTGCTCGGCGCTGAACGCACAAGCAAGAATTGGTTCACGTCGTCGACGAAGAGGATCTTGGCAGGCTCAGCTGCAAGGGCTTACAGGTCGCCGATGTGCAATACTTCAGATGCCAAAAGTTGACAAAACACTGGCCATTCACCCATTTTGCGATGCGGCAGATCTTATCTATCAGATTCGCACAGCCCTTGCCCTTTGAACACTGTAGACAGTGAGGCAGCACCACACTGCACCACCACATGGCTGATTTGCGTAGGGCAACAAGAATTACACAATGTACACAGTTATTGCTTGTTGATTAACAATGCATAATGACATACTGCTGCGACTAATGGGACAAACACTCGACTGAACATGCAGTAGTCCAGTGGGCCTGCCATACATACACTTGTGAAGGCTCTCGTTCGGAAACACCCTTTCTCCGCAGAGTGTTGAACCCAGCCTTTGAGCGCCTGCGGTCAGGCCACTATTCGCCCAGTTTTGAAACGACATTAGGGATGAGGAAAGCAGTATCCTGGACAATGGTCGTTGCCAGTCGCCCACTTTGCATCACTCCCTCGCCCAGCAATTCAGGCAAGTGCCGCCATGGCAGTGTGGCAGAGCATACACCTGAGCAATAGGAAGATCCACACTGTCTGGTCGCAAAGCGCCAAAAAGCTCAGATATCTGTGCCCACCACATTCACTCCAAAACTTGTTGCAGCATGCTTAATGTCCCCTCCTAACCATCAATCCTGATGCACACAATGTGAGGCATTGCATCCAGTATGTGGACCGTGGACTGTGCAGCACTGATGGACTGTCGGTTTGCTTCCCCAATCTAAAATTCCACACCGCTTGGCTAAACTCTGCTAGCAAGCAGCAGGCTGGCTCCACGAATTTTTCGTTCAAGGGCCATGTCGTCCAAATCTCGGTGGGCTGATGCGGCTACCTGCCTTTTGGGTTTGATTCCCTGCATCGACATGGCTGTGTCGAGATAATGGAGATTCTGCGCGAGACTGGTGCCCAAATCGTGTTGCCGGTGCAAGGGCAGCACTTTGTCTCTTTCTGATATGTGCGCAAATGCAATGCATGTAAACTCCCGTGGCTAGATATTTGTGCTCCTTTAGGAAGCCTAACTCGCAAGAAAAACGCTCTTAATTTCTTCTGCAGAGTAAATCAATGTCCCACAAAAATTTGACGTGGAAATGTCACACTTGTCATGTATGTCAACTGCACTTAGATAATCAGACAGCAGCACACAGGCAGATCACCTTGGCAAGTTTGTGAGACAAAAATGCAGGAGGCCACAGCAACCATGGCCAGTGACCATCAGTCCTGTACAGCCCAAAGTTGAATGTCAGTGTGGCTGCCCTGTGCTGAGCCAAGGCAGAATTCCAAATGGGTGGGACTGCTCTTCCAGTGTGCCTTCAGATATCCATCTTGCAGTTCAAACGCCAAAGCCGCCATTTGGGCTCGTCGCCTTGTTCCTCTGTGGACTGTTTGTGCTCCGCAGCCAGCGTATTGCTATGCCTGCTCTTTGACAAAATTGCAGGCCCTTCTGTAGTTTGATTTGCGGGTTTGGGGACCCTCGGCCAATAAAGAGCTTCAATCACAGCGAAAAGATTGCAGCACCCGTTGATGCTACCCAAATGCCACCCAGCCAGTCTCTTTTGAAACCATCCGCTGGCAACCTCACCCGCGTCCATGTATAGAGTGGAAGCAAAAGCCCCTGCGCACCTTGAAGGCGCCCCTCACATTCCCGCTGTTTCAATTATGGTCCCCGATACCCGCTGCTCAGAACGCACCCTGCTTCCTGCATGGGGCTGCTCTCCTCTTCATTCAACATTTGCTCAGTGGTTCGATAGAAAATCGCCACCGGCACCATCACAACGCTCCTGAGCGGCGCGGGGTTGCTCGCAATCCCTCACAACGTGCAAGGGCGCCTGTACTCTCTTGCGAACGCAGATAACTTGGGAATGGACATCAAGAAACCCGATCTAGCCATCGCTCAAGAAGCCAACGCAGTGCGTCCACTGCAGCAGCGCAAAACGACAAGGTCAGGGCGCACGCCTCTCCCAAATTTCCAGACAATCAGACGCCGCAAGATTTCCAGCTATCCTCAACCACCCGACACTCCGCCGGTTCGGAGAGCGCACAGGAAGCACGCCCCACTTTCCCCAAAATCTTCCCGCCCATCGCGAGCGGCCGGTCCAGCGGAGGCCCCTGCTCCCGCCAGCCTCCACCAGAGTCTGCCATCCCCTCCACCGCACCGGGGCAATGCCCTGGCTCAGAAATCCCCCCCGACGGCAACAGATGGTGACCCAACACATGGGCGTGCAGCGCCTCAGTGCGGTTAATATGTGGCGAATGACCAGTTACGGAGTCCGGAATTCGGGCTATGCCGTCCCGGAATGCGCGCCCGCTTTCACCAAGTCCAGCCTCCCACCGCCTCCCCAGGTCCACTCCCCAGCACCGCTGCTGTTTGGATCCCACGCTTGCGCGCGGAGGAACGGCGCAGCAGCCGCCGCTTGGGCCGGCGCCCCCCCGCCGCGTTTTTGTCCTCCGCCGTTGCCTCCTGGCTATCGATCGCCGGGCAGCCGCAGGGGTTGAATCGTGCCCTTTTCGGCGGGGCATTTGGCCGTCGGGGCGCCGCACAAAGATTTGGGATCGCTGTCCTGGCGCCGCGCAGGCGTGATGAAGCTGACGGTGAAGACCGTGAAGGGGGAGGACTTTAAGGTGGACGCGGAGGAGAGTGCATCGGTAGGGGCCCGGGGCCTACGTTCGCCTTCCCACCACGGCGTGGCAATTCTGAGCGGGCAATCCCGAGCGGCCTGTCCTGAGTCTACTCTCGCCGGTACCACAGGTGGTGGAGGTGAAGGCCAGGATAGAGGAGACAATGGGCGCGGCGTACCCCAAGGACAGCCTGCTGCTGATTTACAAGGGCAAGGTGGGGGTCCGGCCCGTGCCGCCCGCCCGTGATGAGCTCCCCATCGGGCCTGCTCCCGCCTGATCCGCTTTCGATGCGCCTTCCCGATCGCAGGTCCTTCGGGACGACGCCACGCTGGCGGGCAGCGGCGTGGAGGAGAGCGGCTTCGTGGTCGTCATGGTCTCAAAGGTGTGCACGTCTTTGTCGAGCAGCCCATGCCCTTTCCTGCCATCCGCCCTTGTGCCAAGTATCTGATGGCGGAAATCGTGAAAACCGCAGCAAGCGGAGCCGGCGCCTGGCGATCAGAGGGAAACACCGTGAGTCGCAGCCCCCGCCCCGTCTCCCTGCCCCTTCTCTTCAATCCATGCCCCCTCGCCGCTGATCCCGTGCTCATTTTTCGCCCTGTGGATCGTGATCCCGTGCGCAGGCGGGAGGCGCCCCAGCCCGCCGCTGCCGAGGAGGTCACCCCCGCGGCGGCCGCGCAAATGCTGGCGGGCGCGGCTGCCGGCGAGACGGAGACGGCCTACGGCGCCGCGGCGTCGACGCTGGCCACGGGCTCTGCGCTCGAAGAATCCGTTCGACAGGTGCTGGACAGGCGCCCTGACCTCCCCACGGCCCCTGCTGCCGTGTGCGCTGCCTTTGGCCGTTCGGTGCGGCACCTATAGAGGGCATTTTTTCGCGAACCTGGTGCCAACGGCAAGCCAAACCGGACAGCGTTGGTGGCGGGTGGAAGTGATTTTCCAGGGGGTGGCCGCTCGTGCGTCTCCCTGTTGCCTTAGCAAAGTCTGTTGGAACGGCATTTCGACGGTGTACAGCTGTAGCTTGCAGTATGTTACATGTTCCTGTCGATTCCTTGTGCGCATTGCATTGCATGCCTTGCACGTCTCCACCCACTTTGCTCAGGTGGGTGTTGCCCATTTTATGCCATAAATTCTTTGGAGGCCATTCTTCCCCAAGGACACAAACTTCCTAGCCCATCCAGTTGTGCTCACGAGGGCAGCCCATATGTATGAGACCTGCTCTTCATTGTCTTGCAAGAATGTTGCAGAATCTTCAATGCAGTTGGTGTCTCAGCCTGCATTGTGTTGGCCAGATATGCGACATGGGCTTTGCTAAGGAACAGGTGGTGCGGGCGATGCGCGCGGCTTTCAACAATCCAGACAGGGCAGTGGAGTATCTCATGAGTGGCATTCCTGAGGGCGCAGAGCCAGCTGCTCCCCCAAGGCCGGCCGCCAACCAACAAGCGGCACAGCTTCCACCCCAGGCTGCTCAGCCCCAGGGCGATGTGGAGCCAACTGGCCCAAACGCTCAGCCACTTGACATGTTTGGTGGAAGTCAGGTGTGCTGCACTGCAGCCTACTCGTCTGGTTTGCTTGTGGCAAGCTGACTAAGATTGGAAAAGTGGACCTTTAAAAAATGTGTGTGTCAAGGGAAGAGGTTTGAACTTGGCGTCTATGTTCCTCCAGTAATCGGTTTGATGTGTGCTGCATCAACAAATATTGACCCAGGCGATTAGGGGGAACTGTCAGTCTTTCCTTTTCTGACATTTCATGGCATCTCAGCATTGATGCTATCCAGCACAGCGACTGCTGCTGTGCTCTTGTGGCTGAAAGACTCTTGCAGAATCTTGTCTGGGGGTGGGCGCCCATTGTGATGCGTGTTCCTTTTGATCGAAAGACAAGCGAGGGTCCTTGCACCTTAAAATGTCCTGCTCGAACAGGGGGGAGGTGGGGCGGCTGGTGGCGGGCCGCTGGACTACCTTCGGGGCAATGCCCAATTTCAGACACTGAGGCAGATGGTGGCCCAGAATCCACAAATCTTGCAGCCCATGCTGCAAGAGCTGGGAAAGAATAACCCAGACATGCTGCAGCAGATTACGGACAACCAAGAGGAGTTCTTGAGGCTGCTCACGGAGGACCCTCCCTCTCAGGTGGCAGAGGCAGCAGAGGGCTTGATTCAACTTGGCCAAGGAGGTACTGCGAGTGTCGCAAACTCCAAGTGTGCATTCATTGTTTACTTTCTGTTTGCTTTCAGTGCTGTTCAATGTCTCACACTTGGATGTTGGGTGGACCCCGTGGATGAAGTTGTGGGGTGCAAGGAGTACAAGAGTTTGCTTTCCTGTTGCTTACAAAGAAAACTGCAATATTTGTTTGATCTGCAGGGGAGCCTGCAAGGAGCTTTTAGGAGGGCCTTGGTCATTGCACTGCAAATGTCGCTGGTCTGTCAAGACCAATTCATGGTGTATGGCAGTCTGAAGGGCTTTGCAGTTATCGATTGTTACAATATTTGCCTTTGCATTTGCCCTGTCTCTTTCCATGCGATGTTCTGTGATTCCGGTAGCCCAACAGATTTGTCAGACCCAATGTGCTGTACCAGCATATTGCTGTGCTTCTCTGCACCAGCGCATGTTCCTAGTTTTAGGTGCCTTGAACTGTCTTCAAAGCCTAGCTTGAAAGATTTTGGCTTTGCCTTTCTTCGCATTGGAATGTGCCTGGGTTGTTTGACCAACTAAAATACGGATGCAGGTAAAGGACATGCGCATTGCAAGTCTTGGCTGGCTATGTTGTAGTTGTTTCTCAATACTGTCTGGAACTGCGATCGCTGCAGTATCACGTCAGCTTGCCAACCCTGTGGATGGGGCTTTTTCATGGTGTGTGGCCAGGCGTCGCCCAGATGGCTGCACCCCCCCTTGAAATCTCTGCAGAGGATGAGGCGGCTATCACCAGGTTGCAAGGGCTGGGGTTTGAGCGGGCACTCTGTATAGAGGCGTTCTTCATCTGCGACAAGAACGAAGACCTGGCTGCCAATTACCTGTTGGAGCACGCTGACGACTTGTGATAATGAAGCCGAGCTGGCTGGAAGTCTGCAGGTTCCATCCATTGCACAGAAATGGCTGTGCACTTTGTGACAACGTTGGCTGCGGCGAGTGCTAGGGTGTGACCAGAATATGCCTGGGAGTGCACCTTGTGTGGTTGACAGAATGGTCCAGCGCTCCTTGGCTGGGGCGGACCGGTGTCATGTCATGTCCCCGGCTGCAGCCCAGTGATCGACACGTTGCTGAATGCAGATGCACTTCTTTGCAGGGAAGAGAAGGCAGGACTGGGGTTAGGTGGGGGGCTGGGGTTCGGGGAGGTGAAGGCGTTTGCATTGCACATAATGCTGTAGAAGATCTAAAGTTTGGTTCAACGCAGAAGAGATGAATGTGCCACGATGGCAGTCGCAGCTGAGGCTGCCAAGCGCCTCTGCTTGATGCAGCTATGGTGCGCACCTGTGGCGATGTGCCCACTTCCGGTCTACAGCACAGCTGCCCTTTGCTACCGATTCCTAATGCAGCACCATCGTCCATGCTCATGTTTATATTCGTTGCCAGTAGTTTAGGCACCTCGTCATTGGTGCTGTTGGCATGAACTTTCAGGCATCGCTGTCATCAACTCCAACGTCTCACGACATTGATAAAAGGGCGTTGCCCCGACGCGCCTCAGCTAGACTCAATGGCCCAATGCCATAGGTGGCGCGCTGCTCCCTCGGTTCCAATAGTCCTGTCCAAATTGAGATCTGCCTAAACGGAGGTCAAAACGTACGAGCCAGAGAAATTGACCAAAACAACTTCGATGCGCCGTATCCAGAGCTATCTGTAGAGCCCTCAAACGTCACAAACGGCGCTACCATTCTCACAATACGTGAAGAGAAGCTCAAAGGGGCGTTTCATTTTGTCAGGGCCTGGGGCAGGGCGTGCCGAGCTTCTGTTGCTCTTCAAATGGGGTGGATCGAGCTGGGAGAGGTATGCTTTGTTGGTTTAGTCAGCCCTAAAGATGTGGCTCAGTTCCAAACAGAATCCATGAGGAAAGACATTGATTCTCAGTACAGCATTTGGGTGTCAACAAGAATCGTGCGAAGGTTGTGCCCAAAGGCCAAGAGACACCCCGATTGGTGCAAGAGCATCCACCTGGTGGATGTGCCAAGGTTTGGGAAGCCACACATACTGACGCCAACCAAAAAAGCTAAATTGATTTAACCACGCCAATGGGTGAAAAACAGAATTTTGAAACATGATTCAGCATACGGAAAAGAAGATCTGCAAAAAGTGTGATAGCAATGGTATCGAAGCTCTTGAAAGTGTGTTGTGTGCCACTCCGAGTGGCACTCTTGGAGAGATGCGCGCCAGCGAGAGAAGATGAATGTGCATCCTGGACCAGGGCAGGGCCACTTTGCCAGTTCTTGGCAGTCACTAGCCCCTTTTAAAATCATGGCATGGGGCACTTCGTGCGTAAGTGTTGAGCTCTGTGAGATCCACATGGAAATAACCCCGCTTTGTTTGCACTTTAGACGACAAGAATGGCCATTCTTGGATGGCCATTCAAGAATGTCCATGGACACTCGTGCCTCGTCATGTCGATGGCCGACAACCAGGCAATTTGCTTGTCCAACATTGCTTCAGAAACAAAGGAAACAGCAAGCCACGGCGGGCGACAGGAATGGACTAGCGGGCTTGTTCGTGACTGCCAGCCTGCCCCGGAACTCACAATGTGTCCAAGCATCTGTCTCCAGAAACAAATCTGCACGGAATGTGGAATGCATGGGCGAATCCGCCACCTCCTCCTCACAATGCAGTACTCGTGCATGGTGAAATAGATATTGTAGACTGTACTTCTTACTCGGCGCCGTTCAGGTCAACCTAATTAGGGCCTTGGATAAAAATTGAGAACTCTTGAGGCCACCGCGCTCCCCAAATCTGCAGGCGCGTCGTTCTATCCCCTGCACCCTCCGGCTAACACTTTTCTGCCCTTTCTGCAACTTTCCATAACTAGATGCGACTCTCACTTGAGGTGGCTGTTGGTAAGACGCTGAGCATGATCTAGCAGGGTAGAATAACATACACCCTATTCTTTGGGCTGTGCCGATTCTGGTGCCATCAAAGGACATGAAAGATAGGACAACTGTCCTTCTAACGTCAATTTTATGTATACCTTATCCCTTTCTTCGTTTTCAGCTATGTTTGGGTGCGCTCCAGACAGGCGCCAGCAGAGATATTGAATGGATGACGGACAGGGAATGCTTCAATGTGGGCATGCCCGTCATGGCCTGCAAGTTGCGAGGGTCCCTCTTTCTCTTTAGCGGGAAAATTACACAAACAATGTAATAGCTCTAGGCGATTTCCATGCATTCATTGCGTTGCTCTGCGCTGCTGTGCCTCGTAGTGCCATCTATCCTACTCGTCCGCATCATTGGGTAGAACTGCAGGCAATTGCATGCACTTGTTCTGGACCAGGCCTTGTCGTAAAAAAGCACCGGCCTTCTGATTTTTTTCCCTGAAGGCTCGTCCGGAGGGAGGGCATCAGCGCTACTGCACAGCGAGGTGATGCCAGTGATATAATCGCAAGAGCGTGGACAGACGAGACATATCTCCCGGATAATTTCAAACATCAGCTGTAAATACAATTATGCGGAGGGTTTGAAAATGCTAAGAGTTCAGTGTGAATAACATGGCGGCGCTCATTCTAATTTCTGTCAAAAGACCATGCATGCTCGCGGTTAGACCCCCCAGTAGCTGCCTTCCATAAGGCTTCCCTGGCCAATGACCACCGCGAAATCGCGAGTTCTTTCTGAAGATATCGTGCACCTGCGCTCCAGATGTACAAAAAAATTGCTCAAGATTGTTGATTTCCCCTGTCCAGAGGCTCAAGGACAGAAACACGATTCGGTTTTGGAGGTCCACATGATGACGTTTTGCGCGAGGGTGCTCTTGGTGGCCGTGCATCTGAAAGGAGCGCAGAACATGTCCCTCAGACATTGAATGACGCAAGCCAGCTGCTACGCAGTCGGCAAACAAACAAGGCACCCCACGTTGCGCACCAACCGGTTGGTGCAAAATGCTCGGTACCGAGCGTTTTGCGCATGCAACTACTTGCAGTAACATACATCAAGATCATTTATTCAACAATCAAACTACGAAACGCAGTTCAATATATGCCCATATCTTCATGTGGGGACTGAGGATTCACACAAGCAAACTTGGGTTTCGGGGAGCGGCCTGAGCTTCGCTGTGTCTACTTAACTTTTTGGCAATCCTGTGCCACTGGTACAAGTGAATGCCCCTACAGCAGATCCAACGGTGCATTCGCTATCTTCTAGAAGCACTTGAACAGATCCGTTCCGGTACTACTTTCAATGTCTACAGGCTCGCAGTTTCAAACGGCGTCCAGATGGAACGCGCCAAAGAGCAAGAATTTGGAGTGTGTGCACCGGGGACAGCAAAAGTGAAATCGCATTGCCGATTCGCTTGCGAACTGCGAAGAATTGTATCTACTGGCTGCTGCCTTTGAGTCGCTCCATCGCCTGGTGGAGCTCGATTTGGTTTCGTTTCCATAAACAGCGTGACAGGCACCATACCTGGTGAATGTCGCTTCTATCGTTACCCTTGACATCGCTCCAATCCCAGAGATGTTGGGAATAGAGCACTGCTCATCTGGGCATCCAGTGGCGCTACCATATTTAATTCATACTTTCTCTGTCCAAGATTAATTGTCCTCTATTTAAAAGACAAAATTCGTTACAAAGACTATCTCAAAATTGAAAACAAGTTTTAGAAACGGGAAAAATTAGGTTGTAAAACCCTCAACTACCAATTTTCAAGAATAGAAAATGAGACACGAGCCCTTTGAGCATTAGGGGAAAGGTAATTTTTGGTCATTTTTGACCCAAAATACCGAGGTTCACTAGGTAAAAGACTAGTAGTACAAAGAACTGCCAAATCCTCAATACTTAGTGACTTGACTTGAAATTTTGATAGTATGCTCTAGACTTACAAGCACAACTTTTAGCGAAATTTCATTGGAAACTGATGTAAGTACAATGGAGAAGTCGTGCCCCATTATCATAGAGGACAATTATTCTTGGACGGAAGAAGTACTAAGCTATGGAAGGAACATGAATATTGAAATGCGCAGTGCGTCTTCTAAAGTTAGGTGATTAGCTCACCAGTCAACGCATTGGAATCTCCAAGTGGCTTCTTAATAGCGTACATGCAAGATGACCTGGATCCGAGAAGTTTCTGCAATTTCGGGCAATCCATATGCGCGTGTATGCCCCAGTAGACAATCTAACTCGAGTCGTGCGAAATGTGCCAATTCGGGAACCACCTCGCACAGGTTCAGTGGAGACTCACCCGTCGCCGCAGTTGCAGATTTGGGTGTTGGAATTGCAGCACGGCTCGTACTTGCCGGCGCAAGGCTGGGGCTGATCGCCGCCCACGCTGGCATCGCCTCTCGTCGTGTTCACGGAGTTGGTGTCCAGAGAGCCCTGAACGAGGGAGTCGCTCTTGACCATGGACTTCTGCCATTCTTTCAGCTCGTCCGTGTCTGGGCACCGCACACACGCACACGCACGCGCGGACGTCAACGGCACATCCATGGGGTTGTCACGCCATCCAGAAGCACCCATGCCGCAGGGAGATAGTGGTTGTTTTACCAACGTTGCAACAAACTCCGTTCGGTGCACGGCGCTCGGCTCTTGCATGCGGACGCCTTCCACAAGCAAGCATATCCTCACCCCGCACGCTTCCCCACAATGGTGCAGCTTGGACCCAATCATCGAACCACTGAAGCTACGGTTTGCAGCTCAAGCCCGGCGGCTCGTCGCAGGCTCCTAATGTCTCCCCCCGCGCCGTGGGTGCGCATAGCGATTGCGCAGCGCAGCGCTCCGTCATGATTCCCCAAAGCAGGATCTTCATATTCATTCCTCTCACCAAGTCCCGCTTCCTGGCACAGCTCAATGGCGACGTAGGCCCAGAGCTCGGCGTACGCCGTGGCGATCTCCTCCGCGAAGCTGTCCGCGATCTT